ACGTTTGCCTGGTTTTGTTGGTTTGCTATCTGCCAAATGGTTTCACTTTATTTGTTACTGCCTTAAGCGGATCAAACACTGGTATAAATCATGTTCATCACTATACTCTAACGCTAGAGCTTCTGCATTCATCGCTTAATCCACTGATATACTGTTGGAAGATGAAACACGTTCGACACACTGTTATTGGCATACTACGAAATGCATTGAAATTGTCAAAGCACCGCTAAAGGTGAAAAAGTTAAGCGAGGTTCAACTTAGTTGTGTTTGCGCTTGACCTTCCATACATTGCCTCTATTTTATTTACGCGCGTAAAATTTGCGAGCTTACGCACGTGAAAATTACTCTTCCGTGGAAATACACCTTTACTGCTTTAGGCAAAGTTCAAACCGGATAGCACTTACTCCGACACGAAAACCTCAACGGATAAAGCTTCTGTTCACAAATAAGAACGGTGATTATGGAGAGATTTCTGTAACGGAGCGACGCTGCGCCGCGCCGATCTTGTAAGTGATTCGTCACATATCGGATTCGTTTCGGCCACTCTTCATCGCAGTGTGAACGGGTCAATTTAGGTTTCTGGGAAACTGCCCACCTACCCCTCCCCTAAGTCAACATTAACACATACTTCTCACCTAGGGCAATTAATGATGGGTTAGGGGAGGGGTAGGTGGGCAGTTTCCCAGAAACCTAAATAGATCCGTGTGAACTGGTATTCTGACCGTAGAGGAAGCAAATGACTAGGAGCGAGGAGTGGAAACCACTGACACGGAATGAAATATTCAGAAGTGAGAACTGGGTCTTAGTTCAACTGACCCTCTCGGCAAACCGTTCCCGTATGATGTTCAATGTGCGTGAACTACTCTTTTCAGTTCAGTGCCTTTGCCATTCATACTGAACTGGATAGCTTTTCATGTCAGCACGAAAGCTATTCGGCAAAGTGCAAAAACTTTTCATTCAAAAGATTTCGCCGTTTCTGATTGGCTCCAATCTCTCAGCTAATTCTTCACAACCAACTGGCGCGTCTTCCAAATATGGTATTGATGCAAGCAATATACCGGTAATTTAACAATGGATATTTTGTCTCAGCAACACAGAAAAGAAATAATTTTTCAAGCACGCTTTGTTAAAGTAATACGGGGCAAAACATGAGACAGACTGTTGGCCAACTGTTTATGTCGATGATCTTACTTATTGTAAATATGAAAGGATGTTAAGGATGTTACTGCGCTTTTAAAAAACACGCGAACTCTGAAGTTCAGAACCGCCTTCACAACTGCGTTATTCGCTGCCGTCAATCATAATTACGATCACAAGCAACGAACCTTGACACGCGGAAAACGGATCGAAATCCACCAATCACAAATCACAAACTATGATCTTTTGAACCCGTTGAAATAAACTACTGTTTCCTAAGAGGCCCGCTACGACGATTGACGCAAGCGAAAAACGCTAACGTCGGTTGGCTTTTGAACTTCAGAATTCGTGTGATTTCGAAAAGCGCAGTTAAGGCTGTTGTAGGAAGTTTAGGGGACTTTACACTGTGGCCGAATTTATACTGGAGAAGAATTATCCGTCTAGACGGATAATCGGTCTCTAGTATAAATTCGGTGCTAAGACGAATTATGGAGCAAAATTCGTATGAGGCTGATTCGTTTGTTAGACGTGCTAGCAGACGGCAGGAGCCCATATGGGCTCCTGCAGACGGATAATTCGTCTTAGACGGATTATCCGTCTCTAAATCTATACCTAGACGGAACGTAGACGGTTTTTTGACGAAGTGTCCACATGAGAGGGACTGGTTTCTATACGTTCGCAATGTTTCCTGTTTCTTGCGGTCGTTTCCCGCTAAAATATCTAGACAAATTATGGAGCAAAATTCGTCTTCGGATTTATACCTACACGAATTATCCGTCAGACGAATAATCCGTCTAGATAACTCGTCTCCAGTATGTCATTTACTGAATATTCTATTGAATTTTAATTAATTATAATAAAGCATGATAATGAAGTAGTGAAGAAAGCATTTAACGTGTAAATAAAACAGCTGAAATTTTTCAACTCGAATGGAAAGTAATTATTAGAAAGGGATGTCAGGTCCATTATTTGTTAATGATTATATGACTACGTCAGATCCAAACTATTTTTTCGCATTAAAATCGTTGGCCAGTTTTACATTGTAAAACTGACACGTTAATCTATAGATTTGCATGTGTTGTCTGGTCATTTCGATTGATCGGATGCGATAAAACGGTCCACCGAAAAAAACAAATGCTCAGAAAAGTTTGCCGGTGATTAATGTTTCGTTTCAATTTCAATTTGAAACAAAAACGCTTCTTTTCTAATTGCTTTGAAGTTAATAAAAACATCTATAACAATTATTCAAAGCGCCATCAAAACAAGTGGAACATCTGTTTTGCGACACTGCAATACCCAGTTAACAGTAGTAGTGTTCAGAAATGTTTCATCGTGGTTCAGTTAACTGCTTATCAAAGTCTAACTTACGGAACGTCTTGAGTCTCTCTAAACGATAAACAATCCGCGTTGTAGCTCTGATCGGATCAGGTCTAGAACACTGATTCTACTGACATCCTGAAACATAATAACACCTAAAGCTTTGAGTGTAGAGATGAAAAGTAACAGAAAAAATAAACGCTACAATATTGCAATACAAAGCTGAAAATTTCCATTCATTATAATCCAAATCACTTCAAGTTTGTAACAAATTGTGATGGCGGTCATTACAAAGTGTGACAGCTTAATTTTGTTCTAAGTGTAGCCTGCGTAGATGGCCTATAATCAACAAAACTGCCATGCAGCTTCTCAGGCTATTCAAGGCGTGTGATGACCCGTTTACCCGACGACAAAATTTTACAAACAACGATGGAGATTATTACAAAGTGCGACGGGCTATTTCATTACAGAGTGCGATGGTAAGTATTACGAAGTGCGACAGGCTATTTAGTTCCTAAGTGAGATGGCCTGTTACTACAAAGCAAGGCATCATTTTCTTTATACAAGGTGCGATGGCCTGTTATTGCAAAGCGCGATAGCCATGTTACTATTAAGTTCGAGGCTTTAGTACAAATTGGACGATTAAAACCGGACATCCAGACTATTCTACAATCCTGGCCAAATGGTTTTAGGAGACATTTCCTTTTTCAGGTGTTTTAAATTGTATGGAATTTGTAGCTAACCTACAAAACACCTTCAAACCGCCTAACCAATCCCCCCCCCCCCCCCCCCCCGATCAAAGTTGAGTTCCATAACCTGTTCAAGTTACATAAAAGGCGTTTGACTTCTAACACCCATTTCTTCATTCACTGAACTGTCTTTAGTATTCACTCATATGCAATCTGTCATAGCTTGTCATCTAAATAAATATTCTTCAGAATTTTAACTGCAAAGTTAAGACATATTAATGATAGATTTAGGGACCTATCGGACAAAATATAACAAGTGAAATTTTTGGGTATCAAAGATATCACCCCGGTGAAAAATACGGAAAAACGTTTTAAAATTCCTCTGACGGAGGCCGTTAAATGAAAAGTCACTGTTTTTACGCTAAAACAAATGCAAGTCATTCAGTTATACCATATGAGGGTATTAAGAGGATGAACCTTAGGCGCAAATAGTCGTTGAAACTACAAAGAAGCCAACACATAAAAAGTTGGAAAGAAATATTAGTTTAAAAACGCTGATGTCTCAGTTCCGTGACTTTTAGTTTTGACAGCTGACATTTTCCACGTTTTGCCTGTCTGAATTTCTTTTCGCTTACACTAAAATATTACGCTGGAAGGTTCTACTTCTGAGACAAAAGTAAATAAATAATAATAATAATAATAATAATAATAATAATAATAATAGTATAAAAGATTTCACCACTGTCAAAGACAGGTAAAAATAATAACCCTTTTAATGGCGACTGCAAACTCTAAATTAGTGTCCACTAAAACAATGATAAAAATAAAAGTCACTGAGTAATTTCAAAATATCAGGCTATTCAGTGGATAGCACTTAGACGCCTTCAATAATTGAACTTTCGTGCGTGTCGTTATACCGTATTAAACGAAGAATCGAAAGTCAATAAGAAAGGTTATAATTTAGATTAATTATTCATGATTTAATGATTGAGATCTATACCGTTTTGCACTAAAACTGTTGGGCTGGATTTCTGCACCTTGGAATTGCCATCTGAAAAAGCTAGTTTCGCTTGAGGGGATGTGATAAGCGGCCCGACCGCAAAAAAAAAAAAGAAAGAAAAAAGAAAAGAAAGAAGGTTAAGTTGAAGTTAAACTCTGACACAAAACCTTCTGTTTTCCAATAACTTTGAGGTTGAGAAAAACATAATAAAAATAATGCAAATAAGTCGGGCTGAAAAGACTCACCTGGAAAAAAATTAAAATGCTAACTACCCTTGGCTAAAACGTATTTGATTCAACCGCCCTCAAGTCTCAGCTAATAAGCAACATGTCATCTCGATCGTTAGTTGAAAATTAAACTCCACATACAGCATGTAAAACATACACAGGGATGAAGGACAATTTTGTCCTCTTTCCGCATTTCACTCGTTCGTTCGTTCGATAAAACAATACAGCGGTCCTACTACAGACATCAAAACTTCATGTCTTCTAATTGTTTTGAAGGTTAAAAAAACGTATATAAATTAAAAATTGCCTCAAAAGCAAGCAACACACCTGTTTTGCCACTTAGACCAGCATTTACTTAATGACAAGTACATGTAGCCGTGTGTTCACAAGATATGTTTCATTCCGGGACGGTAAAAGACAATTTAGCCAAACTACTTATCAAAGGTTAGCTTGTTGAACATCTTGGAACCATCAAAACATTAGCCAGTCAGAATCGTGCTCTGGTGGCTGCATCAGCAAAAACGTATCCCCATAAGTATTTTACAGGCTTAAATCCAAGAACGACAACAAATGGATCCTTGGTATCTCGTACTATGCTTTTCAAACGCGTTTTTATCTTACACCGCCACTATGCTTAACATTGTTACAATCCACGCCATAAGAAAAACTCCGTCCTTGTCAAAGAATTTAAAAACATTGCTTCTGAGTCAAGCTATTTCCGATCTTGGCGTTGGCTTACTGGTTCAGCCAATCTTCGTTGCACAACTTGTTGTGGAATCGACGCAAGACAATGAGAGCAGTAACTCTTATAACGTCATCTATATCGCGAGGCTTATCACAACGAGTTTTTTTTATTTCGCTACGTTTCTTATCGTCATAGTTTTGTGCGCAGAGAGATTCGCTTCTATTCACTTTTATCTCAGATACCAAGAACTTACGACATACAGGCGCGTTGTTGCTGTGGTGGTCTCAATTTGGGTATTTAGCGGCCTTATTTCTTTTATAAGGCTGTTCATCTCAAAGAAAATTATGTATCTGGTTTTTGGTGTTATTGATTCTGCCTGTGTTACAGCTGCCTCTTTCTTTAGCGCCAGAATTTATTTGTCCGTGCGACGCCACCTAAACGAACTTCACGGCGGGCATTTGCAGGTACAACCAGCTTCACATGACCGTCAAATGGCTAGCGTTTTAAGGCTGAGGAAGTTTGCCATCATGGCAATTTACGTTTATCTCGTTTTGGTACTTTGCTACCTACCAGACATTTGCCTTTTGTTGGTTAACGCCTTCACCCCTGGATCGAGCACTGTTACGAATAATTTACTGTATTATACTATGACGCTGGCGTTCCTTAATTCATCGCTTAATCCACTGATCTACTGCTGGAGGTTAAAACACATCCGACATACCACCATTAGCATACTACGAAATGCATTTTCAAAACACAGCTGAGCAGGAAATTTTCAAAATATTCCAGATGTAAATAAAACAACTCTGAAATCGGATTTAACTAAACATAAAACGTAAAAATGAAGAGAATAAACTCTTGTACAGTGCAGTTATATTCTTTGGGCTTTTTTATCGGCATCTGGAAACTTCAAGTTAAGCAAGCGAAATTTTGTTGATGAATTAAAAGCCGTCAGTTTATCACCGTTGAAAACTTATAAACAAGTTGTTGAAAGACATGCATATTCTGTATAAATAGCATACCTCTCAGGAAAGAAGTGCTGTTTTTGTCATTTGATGTGCAATACTTAAAAAAGTCTGATTAAAAAAAAAAACAGAATTCAAACAAAGAAATAAAGAAAACAAAAAACGTAGTATTGTGACTCGACTGGTTTTGTTAAAGTGAAGGACTTTTTTGGGGTTCCAAAAGAACGTATTTAAGGAAACTTTTCGTCCAATGAGCAACAACTACAAATTTTGCGAGTTGAGTTTTGCAAAAACGGTTGTAACTAGGCCTTGATTTGTGTTAAGAGCGGTTATTTTAGATAGCAACACCGGTTTCGAAAATCTTAAGCGGTTTTCTTCGTCAGTTGCTGGGTGCTCATGGTGTTGCGAGCAGAGTATGGAAAAAATTGCCCTTCATAAAGGCGAATCCTTGTTTACATTTTAGCCTCATGAGCATAGGCTTATCATTATCTTTGGACACTAATAAAATGAAATTTCTAAATATTGAAAGAGCTTAACAATTTCAGTTATCTCTGAAAATTTGAGCCCGATATACCAAATAGTTTTGGAGAAATTCTCTTTGAAAAACCCCAAAATTTACAAAAAAAATGTATGAGCTCATTAACGTTTTGCCACCCAGTAATTTTGCAGTTTTTATTTGCTTTTATTTTCTTTGTTACTGATTGCAAAGAGCTGGAACTTTCACAAAGTGGATTAACTGACCAGTTCTTTTAATTCTTGAACCTTATTGGTATACAGATATTTCAAAAAAGGGGTTGTCGGATGAAATGTGCACGCGACAATCCCGACAGGTAATATGGGATATGATCAATACATTGTTCCTAACGACTATAGCTGTCGAACCTACTTTTGCTGCTTTCCTTTAGCACTCGCAAACATACGTCCGTGGCCTTCTGTGCCATTCTTTCAAATTTCTTTGAAGAACAGTGAATTCAAAACCACCCACAATACCTCTCGGGATTGTCGCGTGCACTTTTTCCAACAACCTTTCTCGAAATAGATGTATACGGCTACATCTTCCATGGGTTAACTTCTATGCTAATGAGCAAAAATGAAAACAATGACGTCACGATGAATCCGGAGGGAAAAAAACTCACATATCAAAAAGTGACCTATGAGAAGACAGTGAATTCCAATTCGTACTGCATAAATTACGCGTGTTCGATTGTCAGCGTTTTTCGTTTGCGAACTATAAGTAAAGGGAAATGGAACAGAAACTGGAAGATTGACGTGTTCTCTTAACATTTCGCTTGACAGGATGTGACAACGCGACCTCACGAGAATAGTTTGAAACATTAGGCGGTGAGTAATTTTAAGTTCAATTTGAAACAAAAACGCCTGTTTTCTAATTGTTTTGAAGTTAATGAAAAATATGTACAACAATTATTCAAAGCGTCTTAAAAACAAGTAACTAAAACATCTGTTTTGCCACACAGCAATACTCGATCATCAGTTGTCGTGAGTTCAGAAAAAAATGTTTCGTTGTGGTTCAGTTAACTGCTTATCAAGTGAAATTCTTATTAACGGAATGTCTTGAAACTCTCTAAGCGTTCGTCAATCCGTGTCGTGGTGGATTCTACTGACATCCTGAGATATCAAACGATTGCAAGCAACGATAAGACGTTGGACTCCTTCAAGCACCAGAAATCCTTAAAGAACAACAAATGGATTGGTCGTATCTCACACTTTGCATCTTAAACGCTCACTTCTCTTACACCGCAACAATTTTGAACATTGTAACAATCTACGCGATCATGAAAACTCCATCCTTGTCAAAAAATTTTAAAACATTGCTACTGAGCCTAGCTGTTTCTGATCTTGGTGTTGGTTTACTAGCTCAGCCAATGTTTGCTGCACATATTATGGACTCAAAACAAAACAATGAAACCATGAATAATAATGCCATATATATCGCATATCGTACCCCGACTAATATCTTCATTTCTGCGTCATTGTTTAGCGTCACGGCTCTCTGTACAGACAGATATTTGGCAATTTACCTTCACCTCAGATACCAGGAACTTGTGACACACAAGCGTGTTACTATTGCCGTAACCTCAATTTGGGTATTCAGCGCGCTTACTTCATTGCTCAGGTTTTGGATTCCAACGAATATCATGTTCGTATACTTTGCAATTGCAAATTTTTCTTGTATTATAACTGCAACTTCCCTCAGCGTCAAACTTAAACAAATTCTAAGACGCCACATAACCCAAATTCAAATCCCACAAGAAGCGCAAAATCACCAAGTCGAAAGTGTTCAAAGAAACAGGAAATCTGCGATGGCATCGCTTTACGTGTATCTGGTTTTCATAGTTTGCTATTTACCTAGTTCTTGTGTGTTCATAACTATCGCTACCATTTCCGAACCAAGAAAAGATCTACAGCATTTGTATTTTTATACTCTAACCCTGGTGTTTCTTAATTCGACCCTTAACCCACTGATCTACTGTTGGAAGATGAAACAGATACGAAAGACTGTCACAGGCAAACTACGAGATGTATTTTCAAGACACACCTAACGAAACTTTCGCCGGCACAATTCAGAACACCTTGGAAGTCATACCTGTCTCAAGCAGTCACCCTTGGGAAACTGCATTTTTAAGTTTACCAAGTTACGAATAAAATGACTGAAGGACTACCTCCAGAGTATATGACTAGACAAAGCTCCTTGTCCGCTAAAGTCAGTGTGCTGTAAATTTTCCCAGATTATTTAAAGATGGTAGACTCTCCATAGCATAATCAATACTTCCATCCGTAACTTAATATCAAAAAATATAATCATGCATGGTTTTATTTAGAGAAAAAACAAATAAACAAAAATCATTAGATTTTCTTTTTCAGTAAAAAGACGAGGCTTCGTTTCTTAGCGCGTTTGGCACTCGTCGCAGCGATGCTGGTATCGGCCAAAATAAATAAAAAACTCTGCTTACGTATCCTCTTCGTGTCACCCTTTCATTGTGTAAAACCAAGAGCCATAATTTCTTTTGATAAACTTTTACTTCAGCAATTTTTTTTAGCAAGTTCTAATTTTTAAGTATTCTTTTACAATCCGCAACACACACACACAAAGAAAAACAAACACTCAAAACAGAACAAAAACAGTCAACCCTCAAAATTACACCGAAACAAATGAACTCCACACCCTTCAAATTAATGCACCTTTCAATTGTCTCAAACAGGATATTATTGCTCGGGCTTCCCGAGTTCAAAAATGGGCTAAAGGCCGACGTGGAAGTTTCGTTAATGCTAAGAACGCTGAAAAATTCTTTATTCAAGAGCCTTTAGTCTTGGTTTATATGATCGAAAAGTCTCAAATATGGGCAGACGATGGCCAACCTCGACCTTAAGGCCTGTAATAACAATAATACAAATGCGTTGGGTTTAAAGATTGACGAGAAAAAAAAATAAAATGTTAACTATACTCTAAAAACTATTTGATTCAGCCGCCTTAAGTCTCACATGCTGTAGTCCATTTACTCAGAGATAACTACATAAATGTAAATTCATTTTAACATTGTATTTCTTTTTTAGAATCTTACTGTGTATTTTTAGAGTTTTTATTGTAGCTGTATTTTGTAAGTAATGTTATTCTTATTTTTAATATATAGTTTCATTCATTTGTAATTATTTTTACACCACCCCCAATCGTGTTTAAATAAAGGATATATATGTATGTATGTATGTATGTAGATACGTTTTCCGATGATAAAGTTGAAACGAAACGTCGCGCCGGAACAATATATTTGACGATCGCGAGAGAAACGATAAACGAAACCCCTCATACACATTATCCACAATGAACAATATCTTCCATGACAAAGTTGAAGTTATTTTTAAAAAAAAACTTCCTGTTATCTAATTCAGGAATTAGACATCAGGTTTTCAGGACAGCACGTACTGGCGCCTATAATTGTTCAAACCATTAACATGAGTGGCGT